CACCCTCACATCCCCTCTCTGCTGAGAGCTGTTTACATTGCTTCATAAATGTCTTCTCCACCCTTCCAGTGTCAGTGAAGTGTATGAAGAAGGCAGTAACACCATAGCTCTCCACACCTCCTTCACCATTGTCTGCACCCAGCAGCAGCCCCTTGACATGAGAAAGAGTGGCAGGGCCAGGCCAGCCAGGGAACCTCCAGAGGGAGCAGGGCAACAGGACTGACAGAGTTGTTAACATACCCCAGTTCGTTGTTAACATGGCCCTGTTTGTCAGACTGCTGACAGCAGGACTAAAAGAGCTGTTAGCATGGCTATAACACCCCCTCTGGGGCTTCAGAGTCCAGGGCTTCTCTGTTTGGACACCACCAAATTCCCTTTGTCTGGATGCCAGAGTTCACCCCAGGAACTGCTTCTGACAGGCCTGATCCAGCTGCAAGCCCTGAAGGAAACCCACATATATTAGTTTTCGTAAAATATATGTTTTTTGTAAATATATATAGTTTTTTGTAAATATAGTTTTCGTAAATATATATGGTTTTTGTAAATATTATATTTTTATAAATATATATATAGTTTTTATTTAAAATAATATATATATATATATATATATATATATATATATATATATATATGGTTTTTGTTTTGTTTTGTTTTTGTAGAGAGGGTTGTTTCCCCTATGTTACCCAGACTAGTCTCAAACTCCTGGGATCTGGACTCTGGGCTCAAGCGATCCTTGGCCTCCCAACCCCAAAGTGCTGGGATTACAAGCATGAGCCATTGCCCCTGGCACTCTACAAAAAAAAATAATAATAATTAATTAGCTGGGCATAGTGGCTCATGCCTGTAGTCCCAGCTATGTAAGAAGCTGAGGTGGGGCTGGGCATGGTGGCTCATGCCTGTAATCCTAGCACTTTGGGAGGCTGAGGTGGGTGGACCAACTGAGGTCAGGAGTTCAAAACCAGCCTGGCCATCATGGTGAAACCCCATCTTTAAAAAAAAAAAAAAAAGAAGCTGAGGTGGAAGGATCACATGAAGCCAGGAGGTTGAGAAACCATGATTGTGCCACTGCACTCCAGCCTGGATGACAGAGCAAGACCCTGTCTCAAAAAATAACAAAAATAAAAAGGAGGCCGGGTGTGGTGGCTCACGCCTGTAATCCCAACACTTTGGGAGGCTGAGGCGGGCGGATCACCTGAGGTCAGGTATTCAAGACCAGCCTGGCCTACATGGTGAAACCCCATTTCTACTAAAAACACAAAAATTAGCCAGGTGTGGTGGTGGGTGCCTGTAATCCCAGCTAAGAAAAAATCACTTGAACCAAGGAGGTGGAGGTTACAGTGATCCAAGATTGTGACTGCACTCCAGCCTGGGCGACAGAGTGAGCCTCCATCTCAATAAAAACATAAAAAGGAAAGGCCAGGCATGGTGGCTCATGCCTGTAATGCCAACACTTTGGGAGGCCAAGGTGGGCAGATCCCCTGAGGTCAGGAATTAGAGACCAGTCCGGCCAACATGTTGAAAGCCCATCTGTACCGAAAATACAATTAGCTGGGGCGTGGTGGTGCATGCCTGTAATCCCAGTGACGTGGGAGGCTGAGGCAGGAGAATCGCTTGAACTCTAGAGGCAGAGGTTGCAGTGAGCAGAGCACTATACTCCAGCCAGGGTGACAGAGGGAGATTCCATCTCAAAAAATAAAAAATAAAATAAAAGGGAAAAAGGCAGGTTTCATACTAAAATGGAGAGCCGTACTGGAGTCATCACTTATCTGGAGCACTGTTGATCTGGTTGTTACTGCAGTGTTGGACCCACACACCTAGTGGATGAAGCAAGATTACACTATCTTCTGCTCCTAAAACCCACTTACTATTTTGTCCTCAGCTAGAGGATGTGTCGGATATTATACTAATAAGCACAGATACTACCTTTGATCTTGGGTAGAAGCAACAAATTGCACTCTGGATTTTAAATCTTTAGTCTTTCTATAGGTAAAATAAAATTTCATTTGCAAAACTTATTTACTCCTATGGGCTTGAGGACACAGCCATTGATTGGTAAAGTGTGGTGTTTTTGAGACTTTCTTCTGCTGTTGGTGGAAGTGGGTTAAATCATCCTTGCGTACATTATGACAAGATTAAAGGAGATGGGGAAATGAGTTGCACATTGAGGAAAGAACAGTCAGGGAAATCTAACTGCATACTTATTTTTCAATAGAAAAGCTGCATAGCAGCCTCACTTCATTTGTTATAAATCAGGACAGGACAGGCATGGTGGCTCAAGCCTGTACTCCTAGTAAGGAAGGAGACCCTTAATCACCCTTAAGCATCTAAGACCATCCCCCCTTTGAGACCGAGTCTTGCTCTTTCACTAGGCTGGAGTGCAGTGGCACTATCTCAGCTCACTACAACCTCCATCTCCCGGATTCAAGTGATTCGCTGCCTCAGCTTCCTGAGTAGCTGGGACTACTGGCACTCACCACCACACCTGGCTAATTTTTTGTATTTTAGTAGAGACAGGGTTTCACCATGGCCAGAATGGTCTCGATCTCCTGACCTTATGATCCGCCCGTCCCGGCCTCCCAAAGTGCTGGGATTACAGGCATGAGCCACTGCACCCAGCCCACACTGCATTTCAATAGACGTAAAGGCTGGCAAACTGGGTGCCACTATAATTGCCCTCCTATGGATAGCAGGCATGATGTGGAGGAATCTTTCCAGAAGGCACTGTTTTGTTTGTTTGTTTTGTGGCATTGTTTTTACTTAAAATCAACCCCCACCTAAGTCACTATAACCCAGGCCTACTCCTAAGCCCAAAACCCTTTCACATGTAAATTCTAGAGTTGTAAGACCAAGACCTTTTCACATGCAATTTCAAAAACTGGAAACCCAAGACCCTCACATGTAATATCTAGAGTTGTAAGCCTATATAAAGGCAGAGGTTTCCTTTGTTAAATGAGCTTGGCTGTTAGGCAACTATGCCACCTTGCTCCTGGCTGAATAAATCACCCTTTCCTACCCAGTTCAGTGTTCGAGAGGTCTGTTTCTTGAGGCCACTCCTGCTACACTAGCACTTTGGGAGGTGGATGCGTGGAGATCACTTGAGCCCAGGAGTTCAAAACCAGCCTGGACAACATGGCAAAACCCCGTCTCTAGAGACAAAAAAAATGCGGCTGGGCGTGGTGGCACACACCTATAATCCCAACACTTTGGGAGGCGGAGGTGGGTGGATCAGGAGGTCAAGAGATTGAGACCATCCTGGTCAACAAGGTGAAACCCCGTCTCTACTAAAAAAAAAAAAAAAAAAAAAAAATACAAAAATTAGCTGGGCATGGTGGCACACGCCTGTAGTCCCAGCTACTTGGGATGCTGAGCCAGGAGAATTGCTTGAACCCAGGAGGTGGAGGTTGCGATGAGCCAAGCTCGCGCCATTGCACTCCAACCTTGGTAAGGAGCAAAGCTCCATCTAAAAAAAAAAAAAAAAAAAAAAAGCAAAAACTTAGCCAGGTATGGTGGTGTGCACCTGTAGTCCCAGCACCTGTAGTCCCAGCACCTGTAGTCCCAGCTACTTGGGAGCCTGAGGTAGGAGGATCACTTGAGCCTAGGGAAGTTGAGGCTGCAGTGAGCTGTTACAGCTCCACTGCACTCCAGCCTGGTGACAGAGGCAGACCTTGTCTAAAAAATAAATAAATGAATAAATAAATAATAAAACCAGTACAAGGGAGTTTTATTCCCTGGTACCCCCAAAAGAAATGTTGAAATGGGAAGTGTGCAGTACTTGTTTCCCTTTGTGGGCTAAGCAAGCATGGGCTTTACTTGGTTATTGGAACTTTTGGCCCTTCAGGGTGAAACTGCAGACACAGGAGCAGCTTAGGGACAAGAGAGAGCCCTGGAAATAATGGATAAAATGAGCAAGAAAGTGATCTCTTTAGCATATAAATGCTCCACACCAAAGTTTATTCCTGGGCTGTAAGAGCCTTAAGGAGTGTGAGTGGGGCAGCGCTTGTATGGATGCCCGTGGCACACATCTGTGGTCCCAGCTACTCAGGAGGCTGAGGTGGAAGGATCACTGGAGCCCGGGAAATTGAGGCTTCAGTGAGCAGTGATCATGCCACTGCGTTCCAGCCTGGGTGACAGAGTAAAACCCTGTCTCAAAATGAAAATAAAAATAAAAATTTTTTAAAAGAAATTACATCTGACATAAATCCACAAATTGCACAAGCATCATATGTAGCATTGAGCTTAAAATATGTGACCTTTCAAGATTCTGGGACTAGGAAAAGTCTGGTGGACAAAGTCCGTCTTCTGGGATCATAAAAGAATAAAGCATGCTCATATAAATGGAGGCATAAGCCACGTTCATATATTGAAAGTTGTAACGTTGGAAAGATGTCAGTTCTCCTCAAATTAACCTACAGATTCAGTGGAGCCCCCGGCAAAACTACAAGTGTTTTCAGAAATTGATGAGCCAGATTTAAAGTTTATATATAGCCGGGCGCGGTGGCTCAAGCCTGTAATCCCAGCACTTTGGGAGGCCGAGGCGGGTGGATCACGAGGTCGAGAGATCGAGACCATCCTGGCCAACATGGTGAAACCCCGTCTCTAGTAAAAACACAAAAAAGTAGCTGGGCATGGTGGCGCTTGCCTGTAATCCCAGCTAGTCAGGAGGCTGAGGCAGGAGAATTGCTTGAACCCAGGAGGCGGAGGTTGCGGTGAGCCGAGATCGTGCCATTGCACTCCAGCCTGGGTAACAAGAGCGAAACTCCGTCTCAAAAAAAAAAAAAAAAAAAAAAGTTTATATATAAACAAAATGCCTAGAGAAATCCACACACATACTTGAATACGGAAAGACAGAATAGGGAGATGACTTGCTCTAGCAAATATAAAGATTTCTCATGAAACTATAGCAATGAAGACAGAGAGGTACTGGTGCAAAGATATGACAGAATACAGAAACCAGAAGCAGAACCATGAGCAAATGGACATTTGTTGAATAACAAAGTCAGATCTGTTTGCAGTTCATCAGCGTGAGCATTGGGTTTTCACACTCATGTGTGGGATGTGCCTCCCTCAAACCTTGTAAGGTCTGCCTGTTACCAGCCCAATGTGAGAAAAAAATAACAAAGAACTTCAGAGCAGTGAGGAAGACAAACTTCAATAAATGGTGTTGGAAAAGTATGGTATATGATAATGTGAGATACATATTTGGTCTTCTTCCCCTTTCCTGGCATACAACTCCTAAAATCCTTAGAATCTCCAAAGTGATATATTTGTGTACTAATGAGTTGACTGATGGCTGGCAGCCCCTAGGTGGCTTTAGAAGGGGGCTGGTCACTGGAAAGACCAAGGCAGGGTTAGAGGAGTGGGATTTTCAGCTCCACCCCTCAACCTCCAGGGAGGGGAGAGGGGCTGAAGGCTAAGTTGATCACCATTGGCCAGTGGTTTAATCAATCATGCCTATGTAGTGAAGCCTTCATAAAAACCCAAAAGGGCAGGGTTTATATGAGCTTGTGAACAGCTGAACACATGGAGGTTCCTGGAGGGTGACACACTGGGGAGGAGCTTGGGGAGGACCTGGAAGCTTCACCCCCTTCCCCCATATCTCACCCTAGGCATCTCTTCATCTAGTGTTCATAGATATCCTTTCTAATATACTTTATAATAAACTAGCAACTATAAGTAAGTGTTTCCCTGAGTTCTGTGGGCCACTCTAGCAAATTAACTGAACCTAAGAAGGAGGTCCTGGGAACTCTAATTCATAGCTGGTTGATCAGAGGCACAAGTAAAACAGCCTGGGGCGTCCAAAGTGGAGGGGTGGGGTTGGGGGGCAGGGGCAGTCTTGGGGACTGAGTCCTCAACCTGTGGGACCTGACGCCATCTCTAGGTTGAGAGTGTGAGAACTGAATTCGATGAGAAGGTACCTGCTGGTGTCAGCTGCAGAATTTATTGTTTGCTTGGTGTGTAGGGAAAAAACCATACATTTGGTCACAGAAGTCTTCTGATTGTTTAGAGAACAGAAAAAACACAAACCCTTTGGGTTCCCCCCACCATATCTTTAAACAAATAAAGTAGGATGCCTGCCTCACAGCTTGCACAGAAATCAATTCCAGTTGAATTATGTATTTATGAAGCTTTTATTTTTTATTTACTTATTTTTTTGAGACAGAGTCTCACTCTGTCATCCACGCTGGAGTGAAGTGGCACAATCTCAGCTCACTGCAACCTCCTCCCACCAGGTTAAAGCAGTTCTCCTCCCTCAGCCTCCCAAGTAGCTGGAATCACAGGTGTGCATCTGTGATTAACACCAGCTAATTTTTATATTTTTAGTAGAGACAGGGTTTTGCCATGTTGGCAAGGCTGGTCTGGAACTCCTGGCCTTAAGCAATCTTTCCTCCTCAGCCTCCCAAAGTGTTGGGATGAGAGGTGTGAGCCAACTCGCCCAGACACCATGAAGCCTTTTTTTTTTTTTTTTTTTGAGATGGAGTCTCGCTTTGTCATCCAGGCTGGCATGCAGTGGTGAAATTTTGGCTCACTGAACCTCCGTCTTCTGGGTTCAATCGATTCTCCTGCTTCAGCCTCCCAAGTAGCTGGAACTACAGGCATGTGTCACCATGCCCAGCTAATTTTTTTTTGTATTTATAATAGAGGTGTGGTTTGGCCAGGCTGGTCTTAAACCCCTGACCTCAAGTGATCCTCCCACCTTGGCCTCCCGTAGTGCTGGGATTACAAGTGTGAGTCATTGTGCTGACCCACTATGAAGCCTTTATAAGGCATCATATAATATGTTTATGATCTATGGCAATGTTTCTGAAACGTGGGGACTTCTGGCAATGTCTGAAGACATTCTTGGTTGTCATAACTGAGGGAAGGGAGTTGCCACTGGTATCTAGTGGTAGAGGCCAGGGTTGCTGCTAAACATGCCATAAAGCACAGGACAGCTCCTCTCAACAAAGAATTATATCACTCAAAATGTCTACACTGCCACATGGAGAAACCCCAGTCTAGGATTAGGAAAATATATCTTAAACATGATATTAAAAAGCACTAACCCTGTAAGTGTGATTGCTAAGTCTGACAACATTAAAATTAAGAATGTTCGCCACAAGATACCACCACCCAGGGAATGAAAATACAGGGCAACACACAGAGCCAGCAGAGGGCTCATTCATAGAAGATAGATAAGGAAAAATGGCCTGGCCAGTGGCTCACACCTGTAATCTCAGCAATTTGGGGGGCTGAGGTGGGTGGACCACTTGAGGCCAGGAGTTTGAGACCAGACTGGCCAACATGGCGAAATCCCTTCTCTACTAAAAATACAAAAAATTACCTGGGCATGGTGACGGGCGCCTGTAATCCCAGCTACTCAGGAGGCTGAGGCAGAATTGCTTGAACCTGGGAGGCGGAGGCTGCAGTGAACCAAGATCGCACCACTGCACTCCCGCCTGGGCAACAAGAGAAAATTCTGTCTCAAAAAAAAAAAAAAAATGATATTAACCTCTTTTGAAAAACCTTTGGTATTACTATGTCTGGTAAAGCTGAATATACCATGCTGTGTAGCACAGAAATCCCACTCCTAGGTAAACCCTCTGTATTAATGCAACTTTATGTATGTCAGGAAGTATATACAAGAATATTCACGACAGTGTTGTTTAAAACGGCCTGGACTGGGGACAATCACAATGCCCTTGAACAGATCAATAATCTGTTAGTATCCATCTATCTATCTGTATATATACACACACACATATATACATAATGCACACATACATAGTCTATGAAATATATATATATTTAAGAACAAAATATCATATAGCTATGAAAATGAACGTGGTAAAATTCAGAAATACACTGTACAAAAAAGTACAGTGTACAATTCCATTTATATAAAGTACAATCCAAAAAACAGGCAAAACGATAGCATTTCGAGACTTACATGTAAGTAATAAACTATCCAGAAAAGTAACAATGAGATTCTCCTAAAAGACACAGGCTAGTGGGAGACAAAAAGACAGTGAAGGTTAGGAGGGAAAAGAGACGCATCTGGCATGTGGCTCAGTTCTGTTTACTGACCTGAATGGTGGTTGGATGGACTTTGCCTTAGTGATAAACCGTTGTGCTGTAGATTTTTATTTTGTGCACATTTTTGCAGGTATGCGGTATTTCACAAATTAAGAATTAGCGTTTTATTAAATTGTTTTCAAGATAAACTCTTCAGACAGGATTTAATAACACTGATTAGGTTATAGTCTGATTGCGTTCCAAGGCGATTAACTTGGGTGTTCCTAAATCACTTTAGTGTCTGTGATTGGATTTGCTCCTCCGAGAGTGGAGCTGTGGGATGAGCGGGCCTGACATCAAAGAGGCGGGGCGAAAGAGGGGGTGTGGCTTCCTGCTTCCTGGGACCGGTGAGCAGCGGCTCAGGAAGTTGGGATTATTCTCCTCCTGAAGCTCAGAGTATAAAGCGTTCTCCACAGTGCTAGGGCTCCTGACTTCCTTCTGAGTTCTAACCAGGTAGGCCTCTGCACTCTGTGGGGCCCGCAGGACCTCTACTTACACGACCCCAACGACTTCTAGTCTTAAGGAGGTGAGGGTTACATCTTTTTTGTGGAAATTTCGCTCAGTAAGCTAATGCATGGCAGTGATTCCAGGTAAGAAGTGAACTAGACGTTTCTCTTTCGTGCTAGCGTTTGGATGGCTAGTTGTTAAGGAAGACAGCTGAGGGGTAAATGAGAGGAGGCTGTGTGGAAGGCACGGCTGAAGTGGTAGGACTCCTCGGATCTGGGGTTCTCTTAGTGGGCCTGAACATTTCGGGAGAGGTCAGGGCCATTCTTCACTCATGTATTCACTCAGCGAGTATTTATTAAGCATCTACGTCAAGCACAATTTAACTTGTTGAGGAAACAGCAGTCAAGGAATCTCTACCTATGAGGAGCTTACATCCAAGTGTGGTAGGATAGAAAACAGACCAAATATAAACATTTCATTGTTAGGTTCTTGCTACTCAAAGCGTGGTCTGGGTATGAGCAGTATCAGCATTGCTAGGGAGAAATGCTGTATCAGCATTACTCAGCAGAAATGCAGGATGAGAACCAGGATATTTTTTTTTCTCTTTTCTCTTTTTTCTTTCTTTCTTTCTTTTTTTTTTTTTTTTTTTTTTGAGACAGAGTTTTCCTCTGTTGCCAGATGCCAGGCTGGAGTGCAGTGGTGCAATCTCGGCTCACTGCAACCTCTGCTTCCCAGCTTCAGGCAATTCTCCTGCCTCAGCCTCCCGAGTGGCTGGGACTACAGGCTTGCGCCACCATGCCCAGCTAATTTTTTTGTATTTTAGTAGAGATGGGGTTTCACCATATTGGTCAGGATGGTCTCGATCTCTTGACCTCGTGATCTGCCCCCCTCGGCCTCCCAAAGTGCTGGGATTACAGACATGAGCCACCGCGCCCGGCCCCCCAGCCCCCACTTTTTTTTTTTTTTTTTTTTTTTTTGAGGCAGAATTTCACTGTTGCCAAGGCTGGAGTGGTGCCGCCATTTTGGCTCACTGCAACCTCCGCCTCCCGCGTTCAAGTGATTCTTCTGCCTCAGCCTCCCAAGTAGATTACAGGCGTGTGCCACCACACCTGGCTAATTTTTGTATTTTTAGTAGAGATGGGATTTCACCACGTTGGCCAGGCTGGTCTTGAACTCCGACCTCAGGTGATCCCCCCACCTGGGCATCCCAAAGTACTGGGATTACAGGCATGAGCCACGACGCCCAGCGAAGAGAACCAGCATCTTAACATCTCAGTTGAGTGTAGTGGCTCATGCCTGTAATCTCAGCACTTTGGAAAGCCAAAATGGGTGGATTGTTGAGCCCAGGAGATCCAGACCAGCCTGGGCAACATGGCAAAACCCCATCTCTACTAAAAATACAAAAAAATGAACCAGACGTGGTCACGTGCGCCTGTGGTCCCAGATACTCAGGTGGTGGAGGTGGGAGTAATTGAGTAATCGAGTACTTCACCCCAGGTCAAGGCTGCAGTGAGCCGTGATGGCGCCACTGCACTCCAGACTGGGCAACAGCACGAGACCCTGTCTCAAAACCCTCAAGATATCTCAATATCTTAAAGCACT